TCTGGGCTCAACCATCTGGCCAGTTTTTAAGCCAGTGAAGAGTGCACTCATCCAGGACATGAGCAGGCACACTTGCATGCTTCATTATAACAATAAATTTAATAGAGCATTTAAATTAGTCTGAGAACACTAATTTAAATGCACTTCTAACACTTCTTGAAGCTACCTGGTAAAAAATTTAAACATTTCAAATTTGTTTTATGTGTTAGTATATGGCACTACAACAATCTTCCAAAACTATTTTTGCGCAATGGTTTCTTTTCACAGTAACATGAATTTGCAACTATTATTAAACACATAAACAGATTTATATAGGGAGTTTTTGTGTGTAAAATGTGTATCCCTATTGAGACTTACATATATATACATATATAAATATAACCTGTGTTTGGTCATTTTAATTGACAATTACATTTCCTTTAATTTTCAGGGAAGTAAAATAATCTGCAACATCTTGTAAGATTGTGTGTGAAAGCTAATGTCAATATAGTTATATAACAGACTAATGGACAGTTCAGTATCTGCAGAAAACTATGTCATGGTATAACACTGCCCAGTAAAATTGGAATAGATTGTGTATACCTTTACTATATTCTTTCTTTTCCTTTTGACAATAGCAAGAGGACCAAGTTATATTCATTTGTTTTAGGAAAGTATGGGTAGACACTTTCCCCAGAAATCCTATCATCCAGACACAAATGCCCATTAGTCTCTTTTATTTTGGATATATACGATTATTTTAGTAATTCATTCAATCACCTGGGAAAAGAGACTGTGATACAGTAATTACGTACTCTTAAGTAACATCTCTTCAATCACAGAACAAGCACTAGTTTTAAATACCAAAAGACATAACATTCAAACACTCCTTTATTTTTCCCAGAATACTGACACGTAGTCTAATGAAAGAACACATACCCTGGTACTTATTGCTTCCAAAGTATTTTCAAGGATCTCAAGTGGAAGTACTAACAGAAAGATTCCAAATTTGTGTGTCTAGACTCCCAGAACACTGATGTCAGCTGCAGAGCGTCCTCAATGTGGTTAATCATAAAAGGATAACACCTTAGAAGAAATTTAGTGCAGCATTAGATGGTTGCCTCGGAAACTGAATTAAGTCTCTTATCATGCATTATACTTCAATACGAAGATCACTAACGTGCTCTTTGAAATACTGGAAAATATGTGCCCTACAACTGTTGCATTGATTTTGCCCAAATGTAATTTATGGCATATATGTAGATTGCAAAGATTGAAGTAATAGAAAAGCATTCATGCTTTTCACTTCGTAGCAGAAGCCTGTAATGCTTAAGGGGGTGAATATTCAGTGACATTAGCTGTTCTCTGCACTTAGGGAAATCTATCCCCATCAAAACAGAAAAGGAAATTAAATGGGGATGGGGATTGAAACGTGGAATATGTTTTCCCATATTGCAGTTGGATAATATATTATTATACTTCCATCATTTACTCTGAATCTCTGAATCATGAATAAAAACATCTTGGGGTCACCAAAATGTAACACTCTCTATTAAAGAAAAAATGCATTTAAGGTTGCAGGTGTGTTCTGAGCGAAAACAGCCATAAAAATGAAACTTCACCTAGAAAAGAGGATGCATTATATTTTTAAAAAGGCAGAGAACAAAGCAGGTAAGTACTTTACATCTGTCTTCCTTCACTATAGTCATGGTGCAATCCTCTTTTTTTTTTTTTTTTTTTGAAAATGCAAGTACCTACAAGAGCTTAGTGCAATAAATGAGGAATTAACTGTAGTTTGAATATTTCAAAGTAATAATTGAATTTTCTGGAAAAATTCTGTTACGTTTGCCTTCAAAAAATAATACACTCACATTTATTTAACCAAAACAGAGAAAGTAAAAGCCTACCATATAAAATACTACTAAGATGGCCTGTAGGGCCCTAAGAACTTGTTACTTAGCTGAACTACTTTGCTTACAAATTTCCCAACATTTTCAAGCTTGATTACAAGTTTTTTGTTCTCTCCTCGTTATCACCTGAATGCACTGCACATCTGCAATACACAATTATATAGCTCATTAACAATATTCATATCAAAGAATCACTTAACTGGACATAACCAAGCTACAAAAAACCCAAACAAAAACAAAAAGCCCCCACCCCTAAAAAACAAAACAAAAACCAACCAAACTAAACCCAAAAAAAACCCCTAAAATAGTTTGTATAGAATACTTGTTTCTTGTCAAATGCATAACTATGGATATGGATCGTATGAGGTTCAACAAGGCCAAATACCGGCTGCTGCATTTGGGTCACAACCACCCATGTAGTGCTACTGGCTGGAGAAATGTCTGGGAAGTCAAAAAAAGGAAGTGGTATCTCACAAGCCTGTAAGAGCTCTCTGCAAACAGCTCTGCAGAAGGTAACTCGGCTAACAGAGTGCATTTGGACTTTTATACAGTTCTCAAGAAGGGGTTTTGCCCTAATGATAAAGGCATAGAGAAAACACATTATCCGGGAGAGTGGACCCCACATCCACCATCACTGCACAGGAAACAGGTTGTTGCAGTAGACAGTTTCATGCACATATTACGTCGATTTTCAGGAAGGAGCTATGCAACAAAGAAATCTATTATCAATTATTACAAAAGTAACAGACAACAAATAAAACCAAATACAATTATGACACTGTGAACATAAGCTACCTCTCTGTTATGGTATGACAGATGGTATGGCTTCCTCAACTTAAATGCACCACAACAGAAAGGCACTGAAAGGGAAACAGTTGTATACAAGGAACAGCTCCATTGTGTCTCTGAGCTGGGGGAGGAGGAGGGATAGCAGAAGACAGGCATTGAAGAGATCCATAAATAGAAACCGGGAGTCAAGAAGGTAAGAAATGTTGGCTCACTTCTCTAACACAAGCTCTAGCAAGCACCAAGTTTTTCAGGCAACCAGTCCAAAAGATTTTTGCATGCTTAAGTACTTCTACAGAGCACTGCAAAAGTCAAAGATCTATGTGGGTCAGAAACTAAACAGACAGAGTTGTAGGAAAAAAACCAAAGTAACAGGGCAAACATTGAACATACCATGTTCCTCAGTTGGCCCTAACCTGCAAGACTGCTGACAACTCTTACTGTGAGGGAATAATCACTGCCTGTTTCTCCTGTCCTTACTTTCTTCTCAGGGATCTGCAAACAAATCACTGTCAAGCATAAGTTTTTGGTCTGACTTACTGGAGTCAGATTACATTAGAAGACAAATCTGCAAAGTCAACAGAACATGATTTAGGAAACTCCTGGTTCTTTAAGTTTCCTTGAAGGAAGCAGTTTTCTGGTTCATCAACGAGCTTTTAATTATTCTTATAAGCCCTGGACTATACAAACCCCAAACTTACAATAATGTTTTTATATTACTGCTTCACTGACAAAAACTGGAAATTATTCCAATCTTGTTATGAAACTTAGAGAGAGAGCTATCAACTGAAGAGAATTCATATCTGTATTTTAAAAAGTAACCTAAAATACTGTTTTCTGCCTTTACTGAGACTAAGATTTCAGCATCTGTTAGTTTTTTTTATACAAAAGTTGATCATGAACAATAGTAACTTGCATATTCTAGGTCTGGATTCTGGAGATGCTCTGAGGACCAATTTCAGTTGAAGGCACTACTACTTAGCTTAACTAAAATATACTTTCAGAATATACAGCTTCAGATGTTACGTGTGTGTGACATCCACCCAGTGCCAGTACTCTCTCTTGTTTTTCAATACAAATACTAATGAAATTTAAATCTTCAATTTGCTCATAATCTCAGACTACTCAACCCTGTGACAAGAAAAGGCCAAAACAACCACAGGATTTTCAAACTGTTCTCAGATAGTTCAGAACAGATAAAAATTGAATAACCTTCCCAATCTTCCTTTAATAACGTGCCTGTAATTTTAGGTTTTACAGAGTCTTAAAATAAAAATAAAAACTTTGCTAAACTCTGGAGCAAAACAGTATTTGTAGCTACAAATGGAGATTATTCAGAAATCAATACTGTGCATGGCACAATATGCCTCCAGTTCCCTTACACTGTTCTAATACAAAATTAATCAGCCAAAGAAAAACTCTCCACAATGTATTTAAATTCTGTAGCACTCTACTGCAGTATTCAGTATTCCACAGAATACTGAAATAAGCTGTCAATTAATTTAGTTAGCAGCTAGTCATAAATTATACTTTGTATTCCTGAACGTTGACATTTTATTTCAAAGCTCTTAAATACAAAACTAGACATGTAAAGAAAAGGAAGCTTAAAATTTTGACAATCTGAGATAGCTAGGGATCAGGGAACATGATGTAACTTATTTCATGCAAACTTTTCAAAAGGACATTAACTAGACACTTCTGTTAGCCAGTGCTATGACACCAATGTTACTGTCCTAATATCACTATCTCTTTTCAAACCCAGCAGCAACATGAGTTGGTTAGTGTAGTTTGATTATACCTCCCAAAAAAAGGTCTCATACTCCAGCACATATAGATCCATTAATCTGAAATTAATTTGAGTAAACATTTCACACAGGAATAACCTTTTTTTTAATCCGATAAAAACTTTAGACTACTAAAAGCTACAGTCGAGTTATCTAACAGGAGGTAGACACATAATCCTCTGAGACTAAAGGCTTCAGCAGACATGAAGATCTGATTCAAGTGATCCGTAAATAAAACCTTAACACAAGTTAAACATAACACTTGTGTTTCAATGCAAATTTTAGATGACTGTCTCAGGAAGTGGTAAGCAACTATATAGCATGGAACTAATTACTGGAAAGGCACTCCTAGAACTTTAAAAAAATCCCAATCACCACTTGAAAAATGAACACTGACATACTACTATACAATCATTTCAATTCCAACACCAGTAAAATGCCTGCCAGTACATTTTTCAACATGTTCCACTTCAGCTGCTATGAAAGGGGGGAAGTGTCTTTTACTATTTGGTCTTAAGAAAAAAAGTTGTATTTCACTTACCAGTTCCTATATAGGGTTTAAAGCGTCCTGAGAGCCTGTTAACAAAGGCACCTAAAACATCTAATCCCAGTAGTGCTACCTGTTGAAACAAAAGTATTAGATGTAATAAACCAGATCAATGAGGAACATTTTAGTATATATTACAAATAACTTACACATATAAATGCAAGTATGCTGAAAAGCTAGCTTAAACATAAATTAAAGTTTCAGTTGAAGAGCTAAATAATTCCTTCAAAGTTCCTATCAAGACAAATTTATAAGAATATGTTTGGAATGGATCCAGTTAATTTACATATACTAGAGCAATTCAGATTTTTCAATTCTTATCTTAAAACAGAAGAAAATAAATATTAGAAATGCAATGTTTTTGTATTTTCAACTACAAAACCCAAACAAAGACAAGGTTTAAGGCTTTCCCAGATGCTAAGAGCTTACTCCAAAAGCTTATTTCTGGCCACTTGGCTTATCCATTAAGGATGAAAATTATGTCATTACATCATTTTCCAAACTCCCAAAAGAAAATAACTGAGAAGCTAATTCTGCTTTTCCTAGTGGTCCAGACTAGACCATTTGTCCACCTGCTTCTTAAGCTAGGGAAGCCTAGTTTTTCACTTGCTCATTAAAAAAATAAAGAACCCCCTCAAAGCAAACAAAAACAACAAGAAAAAGTAAACCAAACAAAACCCAACTCAATCCACAACAATTAAAAAAAACCAAAAAACAAAAAACAACAAAAACAAAAAACAACAAAAACAAAAACCAAAGAGGGAAAAAAAAGGAAATGCAAAATACTACTGGAGTTTTGAGGACTTTCCCATCCACGAACAGAAGCTAGATAAGACAACAATATCCAGTAATATTGAAACAAAAGCCTAAACATAAATTTTCAGTTAGACTAAATTATTTTAAGAAGTCAGGACACTTCTTTTGCTGTTTACTATCCTGCATATTGTTTCAAGACTTCCTTCTGTATTTCCTACAATAGCTCATAAGGAACACCAGAACCTGCATTTTCACAACTTATAGTTACCTCAATTTGCTGCTGCCCATGAAGGTGCAAAGGGAACAACTATTTGTCAAAGGAACAACCTCCTCAAGCTTGGGTGGTCCTTACAGCTTTTCTGCCTCTTTATTTTCTAGTAAGACATGCACTGCACATTTTTCCCCATGAGCTCATGACTAGAATTCCTCTCCTTTATTAGCTGTTTATTTTCATAAAATTTGGATCAATTTTTTTTGGACCCTTCTGTTTCCTTAAGATCCCTATCTGTCACAATTGTCCACACTAGGCAGCAGGCCAGAAAAACAATTTGACTGGATATGCATGCGATACACATGGCCCACACACACAGCATCATATGAGCCTTGTTTCCATAGGAAACTAAACAAATAAGGTCCCCATAAAACCTAGGATGAGAAGCAACTGCACAGTGAAGCTGGTTTTAATAAATTCCATATTAGTACAACAGATCTTCTTTTAAAAAGGAGATATAAAACTTAGTTCACGGTTAATACAACTTACCTGGACACAATTCTATTACATACTAAAACACAGGATAGCATACGTTCACTGGCTTAAATTAATATATTGCCAATAAGTAACTCTATCTACAGATTAGGAAAACAAAATATATATATATATATAAATTAGCTTTTATGGTAATGTAAAGGCTTTCCACAATGTTTTTCCTTCAATGATGTTTCCAGATTATCAAGCAATATGAAACCATAGTCAAAAGCTCCATCCAAAAAAACAGCGTATGAAAGAAACATTCCTTCTGGATCCATGATTTTTCTATGCTTCTGTTTCCTGACTACAAACCCCACGTGAGACTTGCACGGACAATTTTAAGGTACCTTTCCATGCAAGTGTATTGCACAGACAGAAGCCTTTCCTTCTGTAAAGATATTTTTTAAAGTCTGTCTCTTCTCTGCACATTTGATTAGCTTTGTAAAATCTGTCTTGAAGACTTCCACCCTCATAGAGAATAGCAGCTCAGAAACAAGAGTAAAACACACATTCATGAGCTTTACCTCACGCAAAGTCCTCTGTTGTCTGCAACTTTGAAAAGGTAACAGGTATGATAACTCACAATAACTAGAGAGTTAGAATATAAGTGTGGCCACAAGCTGAAGTAATGGAAAACTGGTCTAGCTACAAAATTTACTTTCATTCCACATTATAAAATAAGTCAGTTGAACCACACAACTACAGAGGACAGAGAGTGAACTATGACCTGCTGGTTTTGTAAATCAGTTTTAATATTTCTCTGTTCTGATACACAATGCTCTAAGCTTCAGCATCTCCTGGTAGGTATTATCTGTGCAGTATTCAAGCAGCCCTTTGGAAAGAGTCCTCAGTTTATATAGGATCACATAAACAACACTCAAAACCAAAATTAATTGTAAGTTGAGGCAGAACTTAGAGGTTCTGCAGAACACCTGCAACAAAGAGGTTCCAAATTGAGGCATTATGTGGACTATTTACTCTCACAGGCCCTCCACGATCAATAGAAAAACCTTTCACCAGCATCACTGCTCTTTCCCCAACAGCTCCAATGAAGGACGAATGCCTTCTGGGATTAAAATTAATGGATTTGTTTCCTACTCAGCATTCATTAAGCCTTTTGCTTGCTGTCTAGAAAGAGCCTTTGTATGTTGAGACTGATTCATCAGCTCACCATTGTTTGAAGCACTTGAACAGTGCTTTTAAAGTTCATAGGAGACAAGAAATTTAGGCTCATTTGAACTCGAGTTGGTTAGTTGCTCTTCTTTAACAAGCCAATATTAAGGCTATCCTTGACTTCTCAGAACACAGTGAATGCCAAACCAACTGAGAAATATTTTATCTGCTCTAGACAAAAAAAGACCAGACTCTTCGGTGAAATAAAGCTGTTCCAACCAAAAAACGATTATGAATAGAACCAGTGATTAGAAAGTGAGCCTATTCTTGCTCTGCAGCTTGCTCCTTTTCCAGCTCTCCTTCTGCACACACTTTCCAGCACTGCCCCTTCCCTTCTGTGGACAACTTCAATGCACGTAAGTTTTTTGCTAGAAAAAGAAATACTATTCTCCAAACCATACCTGGATAGCCATGCATGCTTACAGTTATTTTCATTGTGATTCTGTAATTTTCCATCCCTGTCAGGGACAGATGGAGGCAGGACACTACCAGGAAAATATCTCTACTTGTCTAAGTTGTCAAATGACCTTAATACAAGTGTCCTTGGATTTGGTCATAGGATCTCTGAACTGTACATAGAAATATGAATTCTGTAGATTGGGATCTATGAAATGGTTGTGAGAATCTAATGGAGGTCACTATGTGGAAGTCCAAAGAATGAAGTTAAGGCATTAGAGTTCCTGTCACCATGGGGACAGCTGTGATCTCATTAACAATTACTGACAAACAGGATACAGCATGCCAAAACAAGTACACCCTGAAAGAGGAAGCGTTCCAGCACTGCACTGCTGGAACAAGATACATGCAAAAACTTCATGGGATGTTATTTTTAAAGTATTGTCAGCCAAGACGCAAGGCAGACTTTTTCAATTCTCATAATCTCAAGAACTCTGCAAGCAGCTCAACATGAAATAAAAATATTTATGTTCATGCAGAATCTATATTCTTAGTTCTCTCTACACTCATCTTTCAGGACACACTTCTGCTCCCCTATTCCATACTTCTTGCTCCCTTTACTGTCTCCCACTCCAATTCTATCCACTTCCCCCATTCTGCCAAGATCTACCCATACCATTCCCTCCCTTAACTCAAAAGCTTGCAGAGATACTTAAGCATGCTCTTGGCCCCATGGGCAAAGGGACATTTCCATCTTCCTGGGTCATTTCTTCAACCTGTTCAGTTCTTCATTCCCAGCCATGTCATCTTCAGACTCCATTCTTCCTGCCACTCAGCAGCAGTTGGACAGCTGCCTCTGCTGACAGAAGCCAAAACTGCAGTCCCAGCTGCCGAAGCTACCATAGATACCATCTATACTTTCAATATTTTAGCTCACAAGAAAATATTTCCATCCTCTTGCTTGTTTCACCTTCAAGGGCACTAATGACACACTTCCAATTACAATAGTATGATTTTTTAACATATATCACATCACGTTGCAAGAAGAGAGCAGAGTTGCTGGTATCTAACAAATTCTTCAAGCTCAACAATTGGAGTCTAAGTTCATTAGAAAATGGAGAGCCCCCTCTACCTAAAACTGCAAGGCTACTGCCTTCAAAATTATGTTTTAAAACCATTATTGGGATTACAAGGTAAGATTCTCCGAAGTATTCAGTCTTTGCTACTGTTAAAACTATGTATCAGCTGCACCCTCATTGTCTCAAAAGAGGTATAAACTATCAAACTTCTGATAACCTGCCCTTCACAATTCTCCTGTAATGGTCAACCACAGAACATGTCAGTGTCACAAGCAACCACGCTACCAGAGGATTGCAGAATGAATCACCCATATTTATCTAGAGAGTGACAAGTGCATTTCTGCACTGAAAAGGCTTGGTTTCTTCTGGAGACCTCTCAAGAGGCACAATTCTGGGATGTCCCAGTTACGTTGACCTCTCCTGTACTGCAGCCAGAAAAAGCAAGTGTAGTGCTCTCATAAAAATTTTAGAGGTTATTTAAAAAAAAAAATTTAAAAGGGAAATCTGTTTTAATGCCCTTTTTCTCCAAGTCTGGGAACTTTTCAGATTGCTATCATGTCCACCTGCATTAATTAAGAAACATTTAGCCAATTCTGAAGAGCACATTGATGTAACACTCAAAATGATCACTGGGGAAAAAACATTTACTGCCTTCTGTTATTTCAAAATCTCTCATGATCTTCAAATGCAATTCAGATTGCAAGTGTGATCTCCAAACTGTTCTGTACTATGTGGACAGTACTGTATTCTAAAATTTGTGTACTGCCTCCAGCTTGATCCATTACAGAAGCATCTCCAGTTTGCTTCACATGTGCATTAAACATTCTTCCCTTACCTACTGTAATAAATTTTTCATAAATATTGTTCCAATGACTGTGAGTAAAATCCAAAAGTATATGATGCAGCAACACCTGACAATGT